ATAGGTAACATGCGAAAAGAAAAAAAAGGCATGAGTAAAACATTGCTTAACAAACCTTAATAAAAAAACTGATATTTTGCATATGAAAGCATTGTAATGTTTATTGATAATCTGCCAAATATCATTAACATACGCTTACTAATTTGAAAGTTATAGCATGAAAACTATAACAAGCACAAAATGAGGTCGGTCCAAGGACTGAACCCATGCTAAAAGAGTTAAAAACCTCAGTGATATGAAATATCCATATGCAATATTTTAAAAGTAGCCAGACTTCAATTCTAGGAGCATTTTACAAAGACCTTTAGTATTAGTGCAGAAGAAACTAATTTTTTTTCCACTATCAATACAACTATTTAATCTATTAGCTACACTTCTTTTAAAATTCAAGATACTTGCTCAAGGTAGTCACTACAATACTATAATATTATTCTTAGACAGCCCTATTGCTTATACTGCTATTTCCCAAATCTAACATAACTTAAAGATAACAAGAGACCATTTGGTCCTTCAAGCTTGTCCTCACATACATGTTGGAAAGTAGAAATTTAAACCTGCACTTCATTTTTCAGGAAATTGTTAATTGCACTCTTTAAACTTTTGTTAAATGTTGGCTTCATGAATTACACATTTTTGTAAACACCATATTATCTGTAGTTTGTGGACACTTAACCTTTGGAACAGATTGCTTTAAAACATGAGAGGCTCAACACAATTGGGAAAGCTCAAGAGAGGGAGAGATGGCTTGATGAGTACTTGTGAAGGTAGGGCTGAATATAGGCAAATGGGTGTCAGACCAAATGGAAAGAACAGCTATGAATGATGGGTCAAGGTACTTTTTTTGTCTGTCAAATGTTACAGTATTTTTTTCTAATTATAATATTTTATTTTCTCCTTTTTAACTTGTCCAACAGACAAGTAAGTAAATCCTTCAGTTATCCAATATGCTTGCAATTTACCTGAGCCCTGACATATTAATAATAAAAACTAAACAGTTTGTTGAAAGTTTATAAGAATGCACTTATCAATGTATTAAGTCACAGATCAGCAAAACAAGCATCTACACAATACATTATACCAACAATTACTTTTTGAATTGTGTATACCATGTGTGGTGTAATTATTTTATCCTAAATAAATTCTAAATTATCCATGGCAGCAAGACAATTTTTAAATTGTGAAGTATTTTTAATATTTTTATTGATTTTGTTAATCCGTACTCTACCTCCTACTCTAAATTACACTGATTACTTTCATTGTCCTTAAACTAATAAAATGCTTTTTAATGGTGTTTTCCATGAACATAATATATCTAGATTACATTTACTGATGATATTATCATGGTAGGAAGAGTTGATATTTGTAATGTCACTTATTTAGAAGAACTTCAAGAAATTTGAAAACATTATCTTTTAACATCATATTCTTATACATACAAAGGGTCCTTGTATGATTTTTTAATATTGCTATTAGCTTTCAGATTATTATTTTATCTATTGTTTCAAAGGGAATTATAAATGCTACTACCTTTTTTATTTTGGACAAAATATTTTGAATTGGTTTTAGTCATTTCTTTTGGTATGTTAAGTGGGACATAGTTCTATATAAATAAGCCAGTTCAGTGAATACTTTAGTGACAAGTGTTAAATGGGCAAGAATTAATGTTTTCAAATATTAAAAGACATTGAACATTATTCTTCTTTACAGAGGGTCTCAAGGAATTGTTATTGGTTATCCACTTTGGCAAAAATGCAGCATTTCCACTCCAAAATCATAACATAAATGTTTTAGACATTTATCCAATACTTACTATTTAATAACAGAGTGCAATGACCATCTAAAATGAATGATCAATGACAAAGATTTTATGAGGAAAAACAAAAGCAACACATTAGACAATAATATAGCATAGTGTAAATATAGCAAGCATGTATTTGTAGTATGAAGGTCTGACTGATTGCATGACATTAATTACTACTGGATCATTGTATGATATGCTTGTTCAAATATGAGGGCATTTAGCATGCGCTTAATGATTCTCCACTTCTGATTCACTAGTGTCCACTACTTACAGACTTGTTCAATTGGACATCCAGTAAATCTGTACAAAAAGACTCTGTTTCTAAAATATATTCCAAGAATGTTAACATATACCTAATTCTATATTTGAAAACATGTCAAGGAAAGGAAAAAATTTCAATCAATCACACAAGAAGCTTATTAATACACTGTTTATAAAAGTAACCATGGGTGAAATTTATTCTTTTGCTGTAGTAAATTTATTATAAAAATAAAATATGTTCTGATAAAAGTTTAGAAAAAACTACCTTTATACTCCAAATATTCATAAAAGAATTTTTATTTTAAAAACATTTCACCTTTATGGCTTCATCAGGGTTAATATACACAACTGTTTGATATTAGAATATTTGTTAAATTATCAAAACATTTGTTAAAATAAAAAATTTATTTTATATATATTTGGAGTATAAAGGTCATTTTTTCTCAACTTTTCATTAAAATGTCTAAATCCCTCCAGTATGCACTACAAATTTTGAATGACAACATAAAATATGTTATATCTTATTAGTGATTTAAATTGGTAAAAACAAAGCTAACAATTTTCAGATTTACGAAGAATGTTTTTATACAATTATTAATTAAATTATAGTAATTTTCAATGATTGATGTAAAGCAAACATTTGCAATTATACAAGAAATTACTTCAAAACAGACTTTAACCTTGATAATGAAGATAAAATGCTGAGAATGTCTGACACCCTTGAGCATTTCTCTTATTTAAGTGTTTAGAAGAGACTGTGCAAAACAAGTTTCAGTACTGAGAAGCTTAAAGTTATGCACTTAGGACATGGAAACTTAGAAATGACTTTAATTCCACAAACAGAAGGATTATTGTATAAAGACAGATTACAATCTCAACTTATTTTATTTTGAGAAAAGAAGGGTAAGGGGTGATCTTGTTGAAGTTTACAAGCTTATTCAGGAGATTGATAGGACAATGGCCTCAAATTTCTTTGTCTTATATCTTGTGAAGACAATACAACCAGAAGACAAAAGCAGTAATGTGGAGAGGACATCAAAATGGCAGGGGCTCATTGACAAAATGGGCACTTTTCAAGCATTATAAAGCTTTTTTGGGAGAGGGATGTTAGAGGAGACTATGGGTTGCCTTTGGTACATATAGGGTAAAAACCATAGAAGCAAACAAATCCTCTTTCATTCCTATTCAATTGGTCTTATAAACATTTTTATGATCTAAAACTAAACAGCTAGTTATTGCATATTAACACTTAGTAGTATATCAAAATTATTTGTTTTATTACAAAGATCTGCAAGTCATTGTGTACCATTCATTATAATACTGAAATCTTTTATCTTTTCCTAAAAACTTGCAGCAAGCAAGATGTGAAATTGGTTGTATCTTTTCATAGTCGCTAACAATTTTTTATGACAGAGAAAACAGGGCACCTTGGGGGCATAAAAACCAAGAGAGCAGCAACTTGAGCCTATCCAGCCATCCTCTGTACAAGTCATTGAACACAAGTTTAAGGTTTGAAAAAAAAAACAAGTTAGGCTCCAGTTAAGACAATTTTATTTTTCTAAAAGGTATTTGACTTGTTTGCCTTATACTGAGGTGTGTGCTGGTTTGTCTTTTACACTTTTTTGGATACATATATGAGGCCTCCCACCAGATTCTAGGCATAAAAAATAAGGGAATCTGGTTAAAAATATAAGGTGAATTTAAAAAACAATTGTGCAAATAAAGGGCATATTATTTACAAAAGACAATATACTGAGAAAACTTATAACTTACCTGTTTGCAGAGGTTATTCTACTAATAACATCTGGATGCCATACTCAAATATGTTAATATATGGCAATTCATTTCTATTTTCATGGACACAGCAGAAGAGTGTTGGCAGAACACTGAGAAAGAGGAAAACAGCTGCTAACCTAAAACACGTGCATATGTATCTAACTTAAACTCGCAATGATAATCAACTTGTCCCAACTGAAAGAAAATGCATTTAGCCTTTAAGGAAGACTATCTAGTTTAATTTCTGATACCCATTTAAGTTTAATTTATTTAACCTATAACAAATAGATGAAAGTAGTGAAGAAATAAATCAATGCAAGCACACAAGTTAAATACACACAAATACAACTTGCTATAACTCTCATGACACATCCTTGGTAATAAGAGATAAAGGAGAACAAAATCAAAGCTCAGTTTTAGGGAAAAGTACAAAATATATATGAAACAGTTAAAATATATGAAAGAATATTCTATTTTTTATGTCATTATTCAATACTTTTATCATTTTGAGACACTGTGCAGATTAAGTTTGAAGTATTACTAGTTTAGTCAACTTTCAGGATTATTTCATATTCAAAATTAAGGTTTTGATCAAAACTGTTTCAAACCCAAACAGAACTTGAAAAATATCTTTTGCACAACCCTACCCAGTATTTCCTTCATTGGGACAACATGATTAATCTTTTCATTAGAAATTTATCTTACTTTGAGATATATGCATTAATTTTTTTTATTCAGACCTCATCTGAACTGTTGTCATATGAAAAACAAAATATGCTTTCTTCTGCCAGCACCTTCTGATTTCATGCCCATAGTTCTAGAAAGTAAAAGTAAAACCACTTAATGTGCTAACAAAGATAAGATTAAATCTTCAGAAAAAATATACATTTTGCACTGCAGGGTAATAATTAGTCATAGTGTAAAACTATGAAATTTAATGTCATAAGAAGCATTGCATTATGAATAAGTACATGAACTATAGCATCATTTATCATAAAAAGTATCTGGTAACAATAGAGAGGAAAACTGTCAGTTATAGGGATTATAAGCCAAAATATAGGGATGTAGGTAAAACGTAAATAATACATGGATTATACAGCAATAAATGCTTGTTAATAAAACTAATATATATGTGAATGTAACTGGCTAGGTGTTTTTTGTTTTTGTATGCCTTGGTAGATTATTTTGTTGGAGGGAGAGAATTTCTGTCAAAGAGCCATACAGCCTTCCCTTGACTTCAATTGTTATGTTCTTGAGGAAAATGTAAATAATTTTTTCTTTCAAGCAAAAAAGCACTTTTACAATAATTGATTTTTAAAACTCCAAATGAGTGAAGTGAAATTAGTTTAAAAACTTGATTGACTAACATTCCTTTTTATTTCTCTATTACTGTACTAATAGTAATACAACTAAATCTTTAAGAAGTGTCAAAGTCCTACAAACACGATTTATAACAGTATTTTTGATATGTTTCAACTTTCTTTCTTTCCATCAAACCCAACAGTATTTACTTTATTTTAAGATGGATAAACTTAAGTTGTATTTGTTTCAAACAAACAACACCAATATCAAATATATCTTATGTTATTATATAGGACTAATAATAATATTTAATAACCAAATTTCGAAGTTGCAGCCTGCAGCTAATGTTAAAATTTGCACTTAAATGAAGATCTTACTTCATACAAAAGTTAAAAAGAACTCTTGAGTTCTAACGATGTTAAGTATTAAAAAAACATAATTCCAGTAATGTTGGTATTAGGATTACAGTTACATGCTGATTCCTGTTAAGTCTTTGTGTAATATCGTGCGTACGCTACACACAGCAACACACGCACATACATGATATGCGTGGAATTAAATATAATAAACATAATTACAATCACCAAAATAACAGAGTCCATAATCAGTTATTAGGAGCTGTGACCTACATGACCCCTCCCCGTGCATACTCCTGTCTTAAATTAAAATTATTTCATTTCAGCTATAAAAAAATTACATTACAAAGTTATTTTATTTTCGTCTTTAACTGGGCCTATAGGCTACTATGGGAGTATGGATCTTCCCTACACAATCTCTAGTTTAGTTACTACGTTACTCAACTCAACTTGAGTCTCAAGTCAAGGTTTTCAGTTTCATCAGGCCATTTATAAGTTAGTTAGTATTTTAATTTAAGCTTAGCCTTAAATCTAAATTGTAATAATAATAATAATACAATAACTTAGATTTGTACTTACCTTTAAACTGTTAAGGTCAATATCATCCAAACTACAATTAACACTAGGTTGTGTAAGTGCCATGACGTTTTTCATACAAGTCTGGAACGAAACAGCACAAACTTACTTCGAAGTTAGACGACTAAAAATTAAAAACTAAGCAGAAACGTCTGATCGAAATACTTAGGTTTTTCAATTAACTACTAAATGTAACCCAAATAAATTATTTCAAATTCACTCATTGTTTTCACAATCACAAATTCGAAAAGGAGACCACAGAATATAAATCCACATTATCAGAAAATAGTTATTTTCATTCTCTTTGATCAAGACAACGTCCCTACTCCCAAACCTCAGTCAACGACTGACAAAGCTACTGTGATGAGGTTTCCAACATATTGAAATGTGAAGTAAAACACTTAAGGCGTCATCTAGAAAGGTATTATTGAACTACATGAAAGCTCCGATTGTCATCTACAATGATACAATTTATTCAGCAATTCTCCTTATTCAAAAATAAATTCTAATTGAAATATCAAAAATAGTAGTAATATATTAAATTAATTCGCGTTTCTTTATTAGCATGTTGATATATTTATACCAGTATTATTTAATATGCCTCAACAGAATTTTATAGAAACAAAATAAAAAGTGCTTTTTTATGCATAATCAAATTTTCCAACTTGTACATGCTTCAGTAGTATTTCACAGCCATAATCATGTGTGTAACCTTTCGGATTTGAGGACGCTAAAAACGAACATCTCAGCACAAAGTCCGAAATGTCACTCAATTCAAGAGCTAAAATACTAGTGATGCATAAAAAAAAGACATCCCTGAGGATAACAGGGAAATACTGCTGAAAATATGAAAGTGTGATTACAAATTCTAATTAATGTTTCGTTGTGCATTAAAAATATTGTTTATACATGTTTCATTGAATTTATATACAAGTAGGCAAACATCCAGATCAAGAGGTTCGTATGTTGAAACATAACGAGAGTGTATATGTATGTGTGTTGGGGGGGGGGGCAACCAATCAGCAGCACTTAGCATATACATGGCTACTTTTAACCTAACAATGGAATTGGCTGTCACACTAATAACACACCACAGCTGAAAGTGCAGCGCATGTTTTGGCCCTCCAGACCTCCAACTCAGTGCGCTGACAATTATGCACTCCCAGCTTACTTGTAGAGTAATAAGTATACATATGCAATATGCAGATATATCGTATGTTTTGTATCTAATTTTAGTTATGTAGGAAATTTTAAAAATCGATTATTTACCTTTTATGCTTTTATTGTATAAACATGTGATCCATAAAACCGTTGAAGTTTGCTTATTCCAGTTGTTTTGTTTCTTTGTTTTTTATATCAAATAATGTCGATATTTCAGTAGCCTAGAGCATCCATATTGAAAGGATCATCGAACTGTAAAATTCTTTGCAGGCCTAAATGATGGTATATTTATATTATAGCTAACCAATACTGTGAGAGAACAAGGGTCACAAGAAGACGTCGTCAACTGGACAAAGAAACCGGGTTATCCGTTGAATTTAAACGTGTTTTCTTGGTACAATACTACTTGGAGATCTTCGAGTAAAGACCATATTTGAGAGTATCGTGTTTTAGTTCTGTAGCGATCAATCTTGAAAGAATGAAAGCTTAGTAGAATATCAACCCTGGTTCTGATTATATAGTTACTTATGCTGTGTTTTCTTTTGGTCTGCTTACAATAAAAATTGTGTTTATTTCATTCAGAACTTGGCCAGTCTCATTATATCGTACACAAGAAAACTCAGTCAAATTGGTCTGGTTTATTTTAGATCTCGCGAGAACTATCTGCGTTAGCCATCCCTAATTTAGCAGTAATAGCCAACAGCTAGGGAATATACAGGGAAGGTAGCTAGTCAACACCACCCACCGGCCAACTCTTAGGCTACTCTTTTACCAACGAATAGTGGGATTGACCATTACGTTATAACGCCCCACGACTGAAAGAGTGAACACGTTCGGTGTGACAGGGATTCAAACCCGCGACCCGTGGATTACGAATTGATTACCCTAACTACCAGGCCCTCAGTCGAATTCTCAAATACAGGCTACTCCATAAATCTTCTGGTCGAATCTGTGGTTATTTGCAGATCTATCTATCTGACACGTATATGAAAATCAGTTCACCTGAAAATATTACAAACAAATAGGAAGGAAAAATTTCTGTGCCAAGGCAACAGTATTTATTTGAGGGTTTCTGTCCTCATAATGTGGATTTTAGCCAGGAGAGAGAGCGTCAGAGAGAGATGGCTACAGCAAAGACAAAAGGGACATGTTGAGTCCAGGAGGAATCCTCTCCTGGATTTAGCACTTTTATCTTTGATATTAAGATCCATGACATCTGTCAACCTGTAACCACAGACTGAAAATTGGTTTTGGGAGAAGGGAAACACAAATAGCTGAAGGGCGACAGAGTGGATTGGAAGTTGACAAGTCCAAGACCATGTGGGGAGGTCTTTACAAGGTTCCTAGGCTGTCACCAGTCAGAGCACCATGACCTCACTCTGGTCATACCACTGGTGACCAGTGGAGAAAGGCTGAATATGTCACTGGTGGATGATCTCCATCGGTCAGAATTGAATTGGTATCAAGGGTGAAGACCATGAACCATGTGATGATGTATCTTTCATGACCGAAATGTTCCCCAAGACCTCGATAGATGGCAGCTCATGATACTTTGAGTCATGCACCCCAAATAGGTTGTCACCCTGTAGCCCAGAACGAAGAACCAAATGCCCATCTTGTTTCAAAAGTCCCTATTAGCAGCTTCCATCCAGTACTGATAATATCAGCAACATCTCCATCTTTCATGGGCAGGGATCCCATGAGGAAGATGTGTTGGTCAGTTGCAAAGGTCCCTGTAAACGAGATTATCCCCCTCAATGATCAATGGGGTTGTAAAAGAGGACTTAGACCAACTTTTAAAGCATTTCATGTAGGTCACTGCTTGGAATGGATTGAGTTATAAATAACGTTGATAGTTTATTCCTTGACACTGTTAAACACCTTTACTAGTAGCAGCAGGAAAACTGGAGACAGTCGTGTAGTAGGCTCAGAATAGAACTGGCCACCTATGAGGACGTTCTGCACCAATATCACGAAAAGGCATTTTGTAAAAGGGTCTTATTTTTATGTGATAATTTTCCATATGTATTATAATGTTCCCCTTCTAAAGGGGGGACAGATGACCTTTCTTTAAGACTTAGATTTGGTTTTGGTTAGTCATTCTGACCAATACAGTGATTTCCATATTATTGGATAACTTGTTCTGCATAGTCTGATACACTATCCTCTTCTAAAGAAGGCGGGAGTTCTGTATTTAAGCTCTGGTTTTTATTTCTTTATTATATATACATGGTCATAATAATATAAAAGCACAATCTCGAGTGTAATAGTTAAAAACTAATGAAAAACACAATAAATGGAATAAACTACCAGGTAGCTTGAAATCAAAGAAACAAGTTTCAATACATTCGTGCATCCTTTTCAGTGTCACTTGAGACTGAAGAGGAAACACAAATGTTTCGAAACTAGTTTCTCTAATACTAGCTTTTCTGATGGTTTGTTTCATCTATTGCGGTTTTCTCGCTAGCTAGATACTGCTCATACTTGTTTCTATATGAAAATAAAAAATAAAAATAACACAAATGTGTATTAAAACGACTTAGGAAAGTTTATCCTTGACCTTATGGTTGGTTTCTTTGATTAGAAATATATTTAAATATATATCTTTCATTATCTCCCAAAATTTCACATCCTGATGTACTTTCCCAATTAAATCCACATCTTAATCTTACACGCTTTTACATGATTTTATATCTTATTTAGTAATCGTAGGTCCAGTTTTACAATCATTAATAGCATTAAAATCATTATCCACTTATACATGTATATGTAATTATTTTACACATCAATATATATTTTCATTATTCTATTTCATTTTTTAATATTTAAATGATCAGACATACATTTTTGTTAAATCCACATTAAAGTTACTTTATACAATCACTATAAGTTTTGCATTTCGATTTTGCAAAGAGAGTATGCATAAATTTTATCTCATTTTTTCTCTCTTTTCATTAAAATGATCTAAAGTTTTACACCAGTTTTATTTAAGAAAGGACTTGTGTCGCTAAAGTTTCGTCGGAACGAATTTACGGAAAATTAACTAACGACTGGAGGCGTAACAAATTGGTGTCAGAGAGTGGGACGAAAAAAAAAGAAATGGAAACGAGAAGCGACAAATCAAACTACAGCTTAGCAGACTTGATGGCAGCAATACAAGAGCCAGGAAAGAAACAAGAAGAGAGACAACAGCAGTTGCAAGAAAACCTGCAACAGTGGCAGCTCGAACAACAAAATAAACAAGAGGAGAGATTACAACAGTTGTTGGAGGAAAAAGAAAAGAAACAATAAGAGAAATTACAGCAGTTGTTGGAGGAAAAAGAAAAGAAACAAGAAGAACGAGAAAAGAAACAAGAAGAAAGATTACAGAAGTGGCAAGAAAACCTACAACAATGGCAGCTCGAACAGCAAAATAAACAAGAGAGACTACAGTAGTGGTTGGAGGAGAAAGAAAATAAACAAGAAGAGAAATTACAGCAGTTGTTGGAGGAAAAAGAAAAGAAACAAGAAGAGAGATTACAGTAGTGGCAACTGGAACAAGAAAGCAAACAGGAAGAAAGTCAGCAGCAACTACAGGAAAGTCAACAACAGCGGCAAGAAGTACAAATAGAAAACATTAGTAAATTGAAAAACGAATTAGATACATTAAAGGATGATTTATTGTATTTTACACAAGGAGGATACATTAACCATCGACTTAATCAGCCCCAGACAATGACAAGCCCCTTCCAGACCCTGCAGCTAAACCCCTAATGCAGACATCTTCAGTCCTGTTAGAAGTCACATCCCAGATATGAAGCCGCAGGAATTCGATGGGAAGGCACAGTGGGAAGCATATAGAGCACAATTTGAGCTATTGGCAGAAATGAATTGGTGTACAGAGGAGCAGAAAGCAGTAAATCTGGCAACGAGCTTGAAGGGACAACCACTGGAAATACTTGGACAGTTGTCGGCAGATGGCAGGCACAACTATAGAGCACTGGTAGCGGCTCTAGAACTCAGGTACGGAACTCAAAATCAGTCTGAAGTCTACAGAGCTAGGTTTAGGACGAGAGTCTGTACTAAAGGGGAGAGCCTGCAAGAGCTGGCTCAGGACTTAGAAAGTATGGCACACAAGGCCTACCCAACTACACCACCCGATCTCCTCAAGTTGTTGCTGAGAGATCAGTTTGTAGACG